CGGTGATCTGCGGGATATCGTACCGGCACTCCCGGCACGAGCTGAAGGGGTGTATTAACGATGCCAAGTGCATGAAGTACCTCCTCGTTAACCGGTTCCACTTCCCTGAGTCCTCCATCATCATGCTCACCGGTGAGCGCCCTCGAATTTACGATTTTGCCCTTGTTTTTTTGGTTGTTACGGGTAAATTACGGAAACCGACTGAGGTTTTAAGTGAAGTATTTTCACATGGACGCAATTTGTAACTAAATCATTAGGTTCAAATATGGGGGAAAAAAAACTGTGAAGTATTGGAGTAGCAATGTCTTTTTTATGAGCTTAATTGCAAGAAGAAGAAGAAAAATCGTGAAGGAAGAAAAGAGGGAGGAGGGAATTAGAAGGCGTTGCTTCATTATTCTCTTCAACTATCAAAACTGCTATGTTGATGGCCCTTTATCTTTGGCCCTATCATGGACATAGTTCGGACCAACTTTTTACAAAGCTAAACCTAACAGTATCCAATATGCGAATACTATTGATAGTATTATGAGTTGAGCTAGGTTACCGTCAATAGTATCCGATCTGGGAAAACTATCAGCCTACCTTTTAAATTCGGAAACCAAAGATGAAGATCCAAACTGTGGATATGATCTACTACATATGAACTAATTTCAAAGGATTTTGGCATCATTAACCCGTGTATAATATGTCATCAAAATCAACATTCCAGAATTTTCATAATGTTGCTTAATTTTTCGTCCCTTGATGCACGATTCAAAACACATCGAAATCCTTTGAAGCTTTGTTTCTAAGCAGTTCATGTGTAGTAGATCATATCCATCGATTTGGATTTTCATCTTTAGGTTCCGAATTTAAAAATTGGGTTGATAGGATGTGCATGTTGGATACTATTAATAGTAGCCTAGCTCAACTTTTTTTTATACATATACACTGTTTAGTAAATCCATTAACATAAGCCTTCGAGTAAAATGACTTCTGACATTGCACTAATGTGCAGACTATTTAGATTTATTGATATGCATTTGACAACAATGGCACAATCCATTACTTGAAGTTTTTGAGTAAAGTGGTTTAAGCAGAAAATAGGATGTTATTCGGTGCAAATGTGTAAGACTCAGCCTGGATGGACCTTTCTTGTCCCAAGAAACCAACTCGTGTCTACTCTGAACCAGATCACATAATAGCCAGTCCTATCAGTTTCTTCTTCAATCTTGCTTATTCAATATTGTGCTCAAAATTGAGCACATAATGTGTTCCAGCCTTCCTCACTTGAACTCTTCAAGCTGTAGGTTCTTTTGATGCATACATTGTGCGGTAGACTCCTGGACACTTGAGCACTTGTCCTTAGCAGTTCTTAATTGAAGTGCAGTTCATGAAAAAGGACCTTTATGTTCCATTGTTATTGAAGCTTTTGCATGAGGTGCAAGACTTCGTACATTAAAGTCCAAATCTATAGCCTATTGATTAAATGAGTTGGTCATATACATAGATGTATACATACTTGCTTAGACACTTATAGTCATGCCTTTGTGCTTGCCTTCCTTAAGGTTCCTGTTTTGCGTACATCACAAGACCTGGATACTTAACACCTTGTCCTTCGTCCAAGTAACATAAGTCAGAGATTTGTATCAGTAAATTAGGAAGTAGGAACATTTGGTTTAGTTGTCAAGCTTGATGAGCTTTAAAATTGGTCAACATAGGAATTCATGAATGGATTGATCATTGTACTTTTTATTTACTAAACCGCTTCTTATTAACTTATACTTTTCACTTTTTATTTATTATAATATGCGTGAGAAATCCCGTATATATTTTTTGATCGATTCCTGTAAATTGTTAAATTCCACTGGAAAAGAAATGTTAAATGTTGATTCTACATTACTGACATGAGCGGGATTTAGTTTAAACTTCAAAGCTACTCAAATGCTGGCATATTTTATAATCTATGTATGCATATGTGTATGTAGCTTCCTCATAACTAATTCTAATATTATTTTTCTGTTCAACGTGCAGAAGAAGAAACTGACCCATATAAAATTCCGACCAAACAAAACATAAGGATGGCAATGTTTTGGCTTGTGCAGGGTTGTCAACCTGGAGATTCTTTGGTATTCCACTATTCAGGCCATGGCTCTCAACAAAGGAGTTATGAAGAGGCTGATGGATATGATGAAACCCTTTGTCCTTTAGACTTTGAAACACAAGGAATGATTGTTGATGATGAAATCAATGCAGCTATTGTCAGACCACTTCCTTATGGGGTTAAGCTTCATGCTCTTGTAGATGCTTGTCACAGTGGTACTGTACTTGATCTACCATATCTTTGCAGAATGAATAGGTTAGCTCTTCGTACTTGTTTTATGTTCTCAGATCATTTGGAATAGGAAAATCTTCTGTTATCCACATGAACATCTAGCGAATGGAAAACCTTCTTTCCCTTTCTCTTTAAGTGTATTGGTTATGAGTATTAGTTAAATCTGGCATTTTAAATTTGAAATTTACTAGTCAAGTTTGCCAGTCATGCACCAGTCAAAAATATAGCTATTTTATTAAAGAATATCTGGCAAACAGTAAATTATGATAATGACGTTTCTATGGCTCTTCAATAGCATATTGGATAGAATTTCTAAGTTGTGGATTACTGCAGCACTCTCTATAACATTTTAACTACAAGGAAGTTATGAAATAAGCAATTTCCCCTACGTACATGCTTCTTATACCTTGTTGATGTTTGACTCCATTTATAGAAGTAAAAGGGTTTTATCATTGTTTTATTTCATATGTGCTAAATTCAGGGCATTTGTCTATGTGCTTTTACGATGCCAACTTCCCAGCCGAAACTACCTAGTCTTCTCTGTTACTTCTTTTACTGTTTAAGACAAATTTGCATTATATGTCAGCAGTGTCGTGAAATTACTTCCATATGCATCGTCCATCACGATCTTCTCTTTCATATGTATTTATTTCTGTCTGTAAGATCACTTATAGCATGTAGTAAATAATCATTATTGGTAAAAGTACATGACGATTCTAAGTCGAAGATATGTAT